GCAGTGCAGTGCGTAATGCTGTTATATAACTTGTGCAAATCGCCAGGCAGATCAGCTAACAGGGTTTGGCACAGATTGTCCATAAAACAGAATAACAAGGCAGCCTCCAAACCCAGGCTGGCACAGCAGCCAAACTCCCAGTGTACAGGGACTCCACAGGCCTGGGAGCTTTGCGGTTTCAGTTGATTCAGGCATGTTATAAATCTGTACAAGTGGAAAAAACAAGAGTGATGTCTCTCTGGCTGGCCCCTTGAATAACTATCCCCAAGAGGCCCAGAGGAGCTCTGCTTCCCTTGCAAAATCCTAATCACGTCTCTCAAATATGAATTTTCCGTGCAGCTGCATGGATGAGGACCCAGGGAGAGACCAAGGAGACCAATGCATTCTAGATGTTTCTTGGCCCTTGGGATGCTGAGTGTTGAATGAATGATACAATATGTCTCCCACATGTCTCCTACAATGCTTACAGATTTCCAGGCTTTGTTTGTGTCCCAGACTTGATGAGCGTTTTACCAGTGAATTGGATAGAAACCAAGAAGTCAAATTTAGCAAAATTTCATAGTGATTCTTGAGTGAAAGGGGGTATGGGACAGAATTGTCATTTTTAAGTGACTTTGGCAAGTGGGGCTGATCACAGTATGTTGTCATTTAATTAAAGACAAGTTTTAAAATCTGTCCTAATGTCAAAAGCAGAAGCACTGGTTAGGCGAGGCTTAGGTTGGCAAGAGTTTCACAGGAGAAAAGTTTACAGATTTTATTGGACTTCAAGAAAGGTATGAGTCATCAGGATGATGTGGAGGTATTAAATAAGAAATCTGAAATGGGAAAAGGGTCAGAGAATATTCCCAGTGTATTGGAATGAGTTCTAGAGTCCAAGTTTAAGGAAGATGGTGATAAATTGGAGTGGATCACTGAGGGAAAGAAGGGTCAAATTTAAAAGATCCAAAAGATATGTTTAAAGGGCAGTTGAAAGAAAGTAAGTTCACTCCATCGATGGATGTTTTTTAGTGCTACAACATGGAATCAGAGTTATGACAACTATTTTGCCCCGAAAGTGAGTAATGGGATTAATGAGAGAGAGAGAGAGAAGAGAGAGAGAGAGATCATTGAAATAGATATTGGCTAGAAGGAAGGAAAAATTTTTTCAAATAATGAGAGCAATTCAGAAACGGAAAAAACTAATTCATTAAATTGTGAGCTTTCAGTCACTAGAAACAATTGAGTGAAAGCCAAGAGAATATTTCTCTGGTATTCTGAAGGTTCTCAGAACAAGAACTCGAGGTAGGTGACCTTTAAGATCACTCTCAATTCTCATAGTCTAGGATTTAAGTGTGAATGCCAAGACCACTTAGGACATGCCAGAGCCACTTTTCCAGTTCTTGGCTCTGATTCTGACCAGCTGTGTGACCTTCAACTAAGAAATTAACCAATTTCTTTTTTGCTCCAGTTTCTTCATCTAACTTTAGCAAATGCCTCAGTTGCTTTCCAGTGCATCTGGCTCCTTGAGTGTTCTTATAGTAACAGTGTGGGAAAAAAGAGAATCTGGCCTGCCACCTGCCATTTTTTAAAGTGTTCCTCCAAGGAGAAAGCTTCATGAAAGACCAGAGACTATTGATTCTGGGTGCCATTGAACTAAACCCTCAGTTTGCTTGCTGGTAGGATGGAGGGCGGTTATGAACCTCCAGTGTGTTATCTTGAGAACTACAGCAGGAACTTGATTAAATAACTGGTAATCTGGTTTCTCTCAAACACCTGTACTGAGTTCAGGTATGCCTTTGTAAAGAGATGAAGGGAAAGAAAGCATACCCTTTGTTCTTTGTTTACTTTATGATTCAGTGATTGTTATTAAGATTTGTTTATGATCACCAGAACAGATACTTATGGAGCAACTTAACTCTATGCAGATTTGTTCTGAGTTTTGCATAAATCAATTTATTTAAGCAGTTTACAAGCTGAAAAGCTACTGATGGATCAGTAGCACAACTTCCACTATAGAAAGGGAGAAGGTAAAATCTTGTCCTAGTGTTAAAGAGCTCTCATTCTCCCAGATTTCCTTGCCGACTGACTATAATTTCTTTTGTGGTTCATTTGATTGTTTATCCTTTTCTTCTCTGTCTGAGTTAAGGTGCTTCCTTTCCACCAGGCTTCCATGCTAGCTTTCCTTCCTGTCCTTCTTTGACTTCTGTCTGAAACCTGTATCATTGTCTCTAACTCCCATTTCTTCAGTTATTTTTCTCCCAAAGATCTTAAGCAATGTCCTCATCATATAAATGCCATTGTTTGTTTTGATATAGATATAGAAGGTGGTGGACAGGATATAAAATACCTCCTTTAGTTACTGAGGTCAGCAGGGGAAGAAACAGAAGTAAAGCCGCTTTACAAGCAGCAAGGAATTTAAGCCTTTGTTCCTCGGCTGGCTGGCGGGCTTGGCCATATTCACCGCATCCAAATAGAGAGCCACGTTTTCTCCCAGCTTTGTCTCCTTAGATTGGAAATAAAAACAGCTGTTAAAAATAAGAACACATGAGTCAATCGTGAATCTCCACATAGTAATTACAGTTTCCATCTAACTCGGCGCGGCCTTCCCCAGTGCCTGAGCCCGGTACACAAGTCTCCTGTGGGGAGAGCACTGCTGCTGGTATTGGCGATTTTACAGCAAAACCTTAATTTTCATTTTCTGAGCCTCTGAGGTTAAACACTGAATGGGCTGCCAAGCCAAGAAAAGTAATAAGAAAGAAAATACTTCAGTTTGAAAACTTGCTTTGTGGGACATGACGTTTTTCTGATTTTTTTATTTTGACCAACCTCTGTGAAGGTTAAGAGATGGCGGTTACCGTTTGCACTTTTGTAGCTCTCAGGCTTCCCAGTAGCCTCTCTGTGAAGAATTTCCTTGAACTCTTGTAGATGCTGTGCCCTGAGCTGTATTTTCTCTGTGAGATTCCCGGTGCTGTTTTATAATCTAGTGAGCCAATCTCACAGGGGTTATCCCAGTCTGTTAGTTGGCCATCACTTGCCAGGAAAGAGTGATTCTCTTGTCATGCCCAGTTCTCAGAACAACCATTTAACCTCGGTAGACTAATCCCACTGTCTAAAACTATGATGCCACCCCCAACTCCCAGCGAACCAGCTGCTTTCACTCTCATAGCGCCTTGTAAATGCAGATCATAGCACTCTGCAGATTATAGTGGAAACTTGCCTTTTCACTCACTTCATTTCCCCTTTCTAAGAGTTGATGGCTTTTTTAAAAATTTGTTTTATTTTTATTTTATGTGTACTAGTGTTTTGCATGCATGCATATAAGCACACCACATGCATGCAATGCCAGAGGAGTCCAGAAGGGAGTGTTGGATCCCCTTGGAACCAAAGTTACAGATGGTTATTAGCTGCCATGTGGGTACTGTGAACCAAACCCAGATTCTCTGCAAGAGTAGCCAGTGCTCTTAACTGCTGAGCCATCTCTCCAGCCCTAATTTCTTTATGATTTGATTTGATTTGTTTTCAGTGTTGGGCATCAAACCCATCAAAGTAGGACCAATGCAGCTAACCAAACTCTCTTACCACTGGGCTACACTCCTAGTACCTGGTTAGATTATTTTTAATTAATTAATTAATTAATTAATTATTTACTTATTTATTTTTTGTTTGTGTGGACACACATGTGCCATGACATATATGTGGAGGTCAGAGAACAACTTACAGGATTCAGTTCTCTGTTTTACTATGTGGGTCTCAGGGATCAAACTCGGGTCAACAGTCTTGGCAGCAAGCTTCTTTACCCTCCAAGCCATCTTGCCGGTCCAAGATTTAAAGTTCATTTTCCTCATCAAAATTTTTACAATTCTGTTATCACTTCATCCTCCAAGAGCTAGTCTTAGCTAAGTGTGGTGACACATACCTGTAATTCTAGCTCTCAGGAGACTGAGACAAGAGGATCGGAAGTTCCAAGTAAGTCTAGGCTACAGAGTAAGTCCCTCAACAAACCCTCAAACAAACTAGGTTTGTGTGTTAGGAAGGAAGACACTTTCTAAATGTGATTTGTGGAATTCTGGGCAGGCTGTTCCTCCCCAGTTCCCATCTCCACTTAAAATCATTTGTGGTGACCTCTTTCTCAGCTATAACACCACTAAACTGCAATATTTTTGGAGGGACAAACTCATGAAATTAGAATGCGTGGCAGTGTAATGTGATGATTGGAAGATACCTTAATATCTCCTCTGGCTCCACTGCTCACTATCTGTACGACCTGAGGTGGTTCATTCATCTTTCTGTGCTTTGTCAGCCTCATCTGTCAAATGAAGTGATAACAATACTTTCCTCAAGGATTTTTTGTCAGTTCTCAATGAAAAAGGTGATGTGCTTAGACAAACAGTATCCTGCTATGTGTCAGCAATTATAATTTTCATTTGCATAAATTAGCATACCACTTAGTTGTGCTTCTGACAGAAAGCTGATATCAGCTTACAAAGAAAATGGACTTTAGTTTGGGCTCAGATTCACTGCTAATGAATAACATGTATGAGAAGTTTGTTCTTGGTAGCACGTAGTCACTGGGTGCCTGGTAGAAAGCACTGAGGAGAGGCAGAGGGGGAGGAGGAAGGGAGAGAGAGAGAGAGGAAGAGGGAGGGGGGAAGGAGAGGGGCAGGGGAAGGGAAAGGGAGAGGAAGAGGGAGAGAGAAGGAGAGGAAGAAGGGAAGGGGAGGGGAAGGGAGAGGAAGCCTGATGCTGATAATGACCACTTTGCTCAGTAACCGATGGAATTAATCAGCTCAGATGGTGGCCAAGTAATGTGTTATACAGCTACAAATTAACCTCTAATGGAGTGCTTGCTCAGTTTTTTTTTTTGTGTGTGTGTGTGTGTGTGTGTGTGTGTGTGTGTGTCTCCTAGTTTCCTGTCTTATAATAGATGATGCTACTTCTCTGGTCCATCACACTTTAAGAAACACAGAAAAAATGTAAAACAGCATTTCTCTTTGCTAAATGCCCTTTCCTCTTTCCTCTAGATTACATGAAGCAGATGACATTTGAAGCCCAAGCCTTCTTAGAAGCTGTGCAGTTCTTCCGGCAGGAGAAGGGTCACTATGGCTCATGGGAAATGATCACTGGGGATGAAGTCCAGGTAACATGGTGCTGAGAATTTCAGATCCTCTATCTGTTGTGGTAGGAGTCATAAGAATGAAAGATGTGGTTCCAAAGCTGTTGCCTTTTCCCTCAGTTGTCCAGAAACATTTACTTAGAAAGCTATTTGGCACCCAGTATGAAGAGCACCAGACTAGACATCCAGGAGGGCAGCCTACAGTACTGAAGCTACGGTGGACAGAGTGGTACCTGCAGTCCTCTGTTAAAAGAATTTATTCTTTCAAATGACCTCGTGCTTCCAGAGGAGGAATAAGAATGATAACTCTAATACAGGGTAGTGTGAGGCCATAGGGTCAAAGTTAGTCCCTTTTAGTTTCAGATTATTTCTGTGGAAAAATAGGAATAATAACGTTTACCTAGCATATGTCACATAGCTGTTTTTGTCTAGCAAATGGCATATAAGTACTGAGCAGAAACAGACTTATAAGGCATTTGTCAACTTTCTATGTTTTATTTATTGTTTTTATTTTTCTTTCCTTTTTTTTTTCTTCATTTTGAGACAGTGTCATGTATCCCAGACTGGCCTTAAACTTGGTATCTAGTTCAAGATGACCTTGAGCTTCGAATCTTTTTCTGTCACCTACCAAGTGCTTAGGTTACTGGATCAGTTTTTGTAGTGGTGGGATTGGGGATTAAACCCAGGGCTTCATAATTCTGGGCAAATATTCTACCAACTGAGCTACATCCCCAGCCCCTTTTTGTTTCTTTTCTTTCTCTTACCTTTCCTTTCCTTCTTTCCTTCTTTGTGTGTGTTTGTATGTGTGAGAAAAAGATGGAGTTTCCCTGTGTAGCCAAGGCTGACCTAGAACTTGCTATGGAGTTCAGTGTGGCCTTGAACTTGCTGTGATTCTCCTGCCTCAGCCTTCCAAGTGCTGTAATTACAAGTATGTACTACCACACCTGGATCATGTATGGTCCACTGTAATGTCTCATGATCATGATGATCCTATGGAATGCTGGACATGGTCTAAACACTTTATGGACTTGTCTCAGGGATGATGTTACAGATCTCCAAAGGACAGTGATGTGAAGAGCCCTCTGCCTCTGTGATGACACCAGTCCTGTAGTCACCTCAGCTAGGAAGAAGCTGGCTGTGGGCACAGAACAGTTTCAAGAACAGACTGCTCAAGAATGTTTGTGTTTTTAGCTATGTCTCACATGATACCTCTTTTGGTAGCTGCTGAAATTTATTATAGGGAACAATATTTGGAAGACATCAGATGGTGCCTTGACTTCTGTATGGTCATTAAACATGTAAAGACTAAAGGTTTCTCATGATGATGGAGCTATTCTATATTGTTTTGCCATATGAGCCAAAGGCCTCTATCACTCTCTGTCTCTGTCTGTCTCTGTCACTCTGTCTCTGTCTCTCTGTCTCTCTGTCTCTCTCTCTCTCTGTATGTATGTATATTCCAAACCTGAGACTATTTCAGAACCCTAAGCAACTCTTGGTTTCTGATATTTTGTGGAAGTGCATCCATTAAAAACATTGAGAGGACTAAAGACATAATATAAGCCCCAAAGAAAGCCCAGAGCAGAGATGGAGAAGTGGAAGCATTTCATACTGACTAGTTGACCAAGTAAGCCAACCAACATGTTTAATATTTAATAGACATTTAGTAGGTAGACAAGTATTGAAATACTTAATCCTGTTCAAATTCTGTTTGTTTTTTTTTCAATCTTAATACTTTTTATTTGTTATTTTGATAAATTATCAGAGGGAAAGATTGGTGAAATGCCCATTCTTTCTTTTTTAATTTTTTTTTATTTTTAGAAGAAGCATTTAATTAAAGCTTTAATGTACTCATTAACAGTTTCCAGAGCAAATATACGTCTCTTTCAAAAGTGGCTATATAATTTTTAGGTTTGCTATGGAATTAATACAGTTATACAATATTGAACTCAGTATAAGCCCTGTAAGACATAAAATTGAATGAGTTTTTAACCTTTAAAAAAGATCTCCATTTCATTTTAAAATATACTCTTTCTTACAGAAAGACTCATTGCTTTTGCTCATAACACTGAGATGTTGGCGCATGCATCTAAAATCTATATGTATCTGATTATTACTAGTCAAAATCAGTTGCATTCGGATCTTGGCACCAGTGTATATCTATAAAGTCATCGGGTAGATTTCAATGGTAATGTTTATCACCTATACTAATTAACATGACATAAATTTTATGCTTCCTCCTCAAATATAATTAATTATTTTAATTTGTTGATTTTTTTTGTGTGTGCATATATCACACAGAACATCCCAAACAATCTTATTCAATTGTATACCCAATTCACATGTGGCACCCTCCCATAGCCTCCCCCACCACTAGAGCTCTAATACTCTGATATCCCTGCTACTGTCTGCTGTGATGTCATCACCCCCAGCTGTTCCCCACTACTTGTCCATCTGGTGAATCTACTCAGCCTATCTAGAGGTCTTTGTTTTAGGAAGGTCAGCTGTTCCTCATCTAGCAGCAATCGGTTGTCAATATTCCTTAGATAAAATTGGGGTCTGCTGTTCATTTTCCCAGTTCTATGCTGGGTTAGTATCTGGGAGTCCCTTGGGCCACCCTGGCCAACAACTTAAAAGAAGGTATCTCCTATCTGGAGTTGTTGCTTGTTATGTAGAATTTAGCTATACATATGGACTCTTAAAAAATTATATTGGCCCCTTTAATCTTTGGTTATACTTTCCTTTTGGGTGTTTAAGGTCATACAGTTGGCCCAGATAAACCAACTTTATTTTTACTCTTAAGGTCCTTTGAGGATCTGTTCCTCAGGGGTGACATGGGCTTGAGAGGACCCCTGGCTCCTTTCTTTTACCAGTTCCGCCTTTGTGAAGATAAGTCGAAGGTCCTGCTTGACCATGGCTGGCTTTGCTTGGAAGCATGGAGGAAATGATTCCTCTGTGTTGACCTTTCTCTTTGTAGACTGGACACTGGTTCAAGTTCATTTTGTGGGGTCTCCTCAGCCTCCTTGATCAAGAGGACAGGTGACCCACCACAATTACAGGACATTTTGAGAGATGCTCATAGTCCCCTGGAACTAGTCGACCTAGAAGGGCAGGGAGCACTGTCCTTTATGTCCCTCTGACCAAATTAGTATAGGCCTCAAAGTGTGGGTGTTAAACATCCAAGAAGGTTACTTCTGCCAGTCTGGTACTTTTAATTACTGTGTGCCATGTAGATAAATCTTGGGCAAAGACCAATTGTTCTCAGATAAACCCTGCCTACACATATATTTCTTGATCTGGTGTGTATAATTTGTCAGTAGGTTATTGGACTAATATTCCCTCTGATTTTTAAAACTAGCTAGGCATTATTTATCTCTCATATTGTCTAACCCCTCCATCGTAGTTTCCCCAATTGAGGTGCCCCCAATTTTCCCCTTTCTCCCTTAATAATACCCTTCTCTTATGGTCCCACCTCTCTTGAGCTCCTTCTTTCCCTTTATCCCCTATGTTCCTTGCATGCCCTTCCCTCCCACCTCCCTTAAACTAACACAATTTTTATCCATATCTCCCTTATTAATGCCTGTTTCCTACTGTTCTTCTCTTTCAGGTTCTTTTCCTTTACCTCCCTGGTTCCTTTCCATTATCCTGTTTCCTGTAGTTATGTCTGGATACATACTCACTTATCGGGATTTGGTTCTAGGACCCACATATTAGGGAGAACATATGTTGATTTTTTTCTTTTCTGAGTCTGTGTTACTTCACTTAGTATAACAGTTTCTAGTTCCATCCATTTACCTGCAAATTTCATGATTTCATCTTTCTT